ACTACGAGATATGGCAGATGGACGTCAAGACCGCATTCCTTAACGAAAATATGCTCGAGGATGTGTACATGACACAACCCGAGGGTTTTGTCGATCCTAAGAGTCCGAGGAATGTGTGCAAGCTTCAGAGATCCATTTATGGACTGAAGCAGGCTTCAAGGAGCTGAAATCTTCGCTTTGATGAGGCAGTCAAAACGTTTGGCTTTCTACAAAAACGAAGATGAGCCATGCATCTACAAGAAGGTCAGTGGGAGCGCAGTGGTCTTCCTTGTACTTTATGTACATGATATATTGCTCATCGGAAATGATGTTCCTACTTTGCAAGAAGTAAAATCCTAGCTAGGATCAATCTTTTCGATGAAAGACTTAGGAGAAGCCGCCTATATTCTAGGCATCAAGATCTATAGAGATAGATCGAGAAGGCTTCTTGGCCTAAGTCAGAGTACATACATTGATAAGGTCTTGAATCGGTTCAAGATGCAAGACTCCAAGAGGGGTGCCTTGCCAATGGGACATGACGTGGCTCTTAGCAAGACTCAGTGTCCAAAGACACAGGATGAGCAAGAGCGCATAAGTAGGATTCCATATGCCTCGGCAATTGGATCCATCATGTACGCCATGTTGTGTACTCGTCCGGATGTACTATATGCATTGAGCATGACTAGTAGATATCAGTCTACACCAGGTGAGGCTCACTAGATTGCGGTCAAGAACATCCTTAAGTACTTGAGAAGGACTAAGGATTTGATCTTGATGTATGGCGGATTGGAAGACGAGCTCGCTATAAGTGGTTATACCGATGCTAGTTTCCAAACCGATAGAGATGACTTCAGATCGCAGTCAGGTTACGTTTTATGTCTGAACGGTGGGGCTATCAGTTGGAAGAGTTCCAAACAGCCAACCGTGGCAGATTCGACTACAAAAGCCGAGTACATAGCAGAATCGGATGCAGCTAAGGAAGCTTTTGGATCAGGAAATTCATGGGAGACCTGGGCGTGATTCCTAGCATTGTAGATCCCATTGAGTTGTACTGTGACAACAATGGTGCGATTGCGCAAGCTAAGATACTCCGGTCACACCAGAGATCTAAATACATACTCAGGCGATTTCACTTGATCAGAGAAATCATCGACAGAGGAGACGTGAAGATAAGCAGAGTATCGACAGATGATAATATTGCCGACCCATTGACGAAACATCTCCCTTCGTCAAAGCATGATGGTCATGTTAAGGGTATGGGGATTAGATGCTTGTAGGATAGATCATAGAGCATAGTGAGAGATTGTTGGTTGTAATGCTCTAGGATGATCCGTGATATGACATTTTACTTTGTATTGATTCATTGATTCATGAATGTATTATTTTTTCCCGTTATACGATTGGCATGTTTGTTGTATTTCGGCATCCTTGAATCATTAGAGAATGATTCTAAATTCCCTAGTCAGTCATCGTTGTGGGAACAACGATGAATTAAGACTAGCATGATGAGGTGTGATCAATGCACTGGATGCATATCACAATCATGGGTACTCGTTGTGAACGAGTGACTGGATGACCCGCATGAGATTGTCACATGGACAGAGTAATGACTTGAATCTCATACAGCGGTTCGTTCTTGGATCCTCATACCTGAGATGTCTAGCGTATCTGATATGAGGAGTGGCGTGTCTTGACTGCGTCACACGTCGCCTTTAACCGGATGATTATAACGGCGTTGATCAGATACGTTCACGAATAATATGGAGATAGTATACATGCAATATGGGACTTGTCACCTCCTTAACAGAAGAGATATCGCTGGGCCCTCTCGTGGAAGTCGGACTATGAAAAATGCGTGACCACGCTATAGATGAAGTTGCATCTATTTTATTAGTCGATTTGCCAAGACGAGAAAGCGGTTGAACTAGAAGGGTGGCTCAAACCATGCCCTTGTTCCACACATGATATCGTGAGATAAAGGATCAGAACTCGAGCTGTTATTGCCTTGGTTAGATCACCTCTAACTCAATTCAACGTGGGTGGTCATGGCGTCTTGCTAGAGGCTAACCATGACTTGTAACCATGACTTGTGGTTCGGGAAAGGTTCTCAAAGTCACTACCACTTAGAATGGGCCTACAGGATCACACACCACTAGGGATGGACTTACGTGAAGAATCCGAAGAATGGAAACGAGATCTGACCGAAACGAGCACGAAAAGAAGTTCTCAGTGCGTTGGTCTGGAGCTGACCAAGTTTGGTCAGCCCAGGAGGTCCGGAAGTCAGTCAGGAGGTCATCTGTCCATATACCCTTAAATAATAAATAAATAAATAATAAATAAATAATAATAAATAATATAATAATAAAAATATTATTTAAATAATATAGTATAATGGTCCGGCTGACCAAGAGTTGGTCAGCCGCGGACCAGACACTGGGTCAGACGGATCGAGACTGAAGCTAGGCGGACCGGAAAGACCAAGAAGGGTCTTGGTCCGGAGTTGACCACGCGTGGTCCGCCGGACCAAGCCTTCAGGTCAGGCGGTCCGCGAGCCTCGGATTAAGCCTGGTCCGCCGGACCGGGATCTGGGAAACTTTCCAAAATTCGATTTTAGGGTTTTCTAAGCTTATTTAAGTTTGAGATTTCATCCAAACTTAATTAAGGCCGCCCTAAAAACTCAGAGAAACATCCTAGAATCCTAGAGAACCTGTTCTCTTCGATTTCTATTGTCCCGGGATTGGATCTCGTCTCTTGAGTTACCATATTCGTTCCAAATCGTTTGGAATCCTTCCCGTCGGTGTGGATACGTGTAGAGTGTAACTTCAGTCCTAGGTGATTAAGAACAGGCCCCGGATCGAACTTAACTTCAAGTTTCATTGAGAACGAGGTAAGTAACGATTCCCTCGGTTATATACACGATCTTTCGGGTTTTTGCAAGTTTGGTTGCGTGTGACGCTTGACTAGGTTTAAATCTTTCTTCCGCTGCATGAAACCTAGTAAACCAAACCCTAGATCGATATGATCGCATGCTAGGAACCCGTAGATTCTCCAACATAAACTTGGTTCGAACCAGACCATACGTAGTTCGGACCAAACGATACAATCAGGTGAGTATCAATCTCGAGAGGAGCCGAACTGGTAATCCGGATGGGCCGAAACCTAGTTTGATCGGACCGATGATTTAAAAGATTAAATAAATCATAAAAATAAGTAAAGTGAATAAGAATAAATTTAAAAAAAATTATGTTTGACCACGTATACGGTAATTAATAATGCATGATCGCTTGTGATTGGGGAATTTTGTTAGGGTAGATGGCATAGCATTGACATTACACGGATGGGTTCAGGTATTATTCAGTGTGTGATTGTAGACGAGTTTTTGAGTGATATCACGATGATTGCCTTGATTGTAAATCTTCGCGGTATGATATTCGATCTGGAACAATTATTATCCCGCAGAGATGTGATTGTGATTGTAGCGATGAGGAGTATGGAGATGACCGGTACCGAGAACCGTGATATCGGTGACCAATGAGGAGTATGAAGATCACTTGAGGTCCTCGCAAATGCTTTTGTTTGGACTAACAGTCTCGTGTTCAACACATGCATGAATAAGTTGTTGTATTACCTACTTGTAAGATACACGTAGAGACGATTGACGGATTTTGTTTGAGATTGTTGATTGATTTAACGATGATTGATTTGACCGATATATCACGTTGCATATATATTATAGTATTGACTATATTGCTAGGCCGTTTTCAATAAAAATATAAATTTTGGGTTACACCCGGATTCTCCTATAAGCACATAGGTTAAGACGTTGTTACACAACGTTTCAGGTCGTGAGTAACAGTAGTGACTGAGGTAGATGCGGAAACCGATGATATCACACTATCCAGATCATATATAATTATTTTGTCGTACTTCATTTTTTGAAAATAAAGAGTGGTGACTTTTAGAATTTTGTATTATACAAACTGGTATCTTTATTGTATTATAATTAAAATGAATGTTTTAATTTTTCCACGATTTTTTTTTACATTTCGAAATTTTTCAATTGTGAATGTACAACCTGTAAATGGGATGCGGCTGTCACATAGGCAAATACCTTTCGGCTTTTGTCACAAATTTTTACTTCAATTTTCCGTAACATTTTATTCCATATATTCATCTCAAACACCGAGAACTTTAAAACGCACCGTTTTTATTTATTTACGTAAATGACAAGTACACCCCTATACATGGCTAATATTACATTTATATCCTCAAATACCATCCCCGTACCTCTGGAGCGGCATATAGTGGTGAAACCCAAAAGCTCGTCACTTGGAACAAGTCGTCTCTCTCCCTCTTTCGCTATCTGGAAATTGTGTCGAAGAGAAATGGGAACCCTAGGCCGAGCAATCTACACCGTCGGATTCTGGATCCGTGAGACCGGGCAAGCCCTCGATCGCTTGGGTTATCGCCTTCAAGGAAGTCACTACTTGCAGGAACAGCGTAAGCCCTAGATCCATTTCCTGTCTCCTGTCGTCGTTTGATCCTCCCGGGTTTCATTTGTATTCGATTGGATTCTAGATTTTACCGTTTAGATCGGAGAAACGCGATTGGGTGAATGGTGGGTCTGGTTCGTTTTTTCCCCCTAATTTGTCGGAAACTTGTGGGTTTTTGTTTTGGTCAGTGTCGAGGCATCGGACTTTGATGAATGTGTTTGATAAAGCACCATTGGTGGACAAGGACGCATTCGTGGCTCCTAGTGCTTCTGTTATCGGTGATGTTCAGA